ACAATGTTTGCAGTAATATGCAACCATGGCGATGAAATAACACCCCTGACTTTGAATTGTGTCGAAGAGAATGTGTATGCAGCGGAGCAAACAAACAGCAAGTTGATTGACGAGTGGAAGCATAAACACGGCACACACCCTAGCTACTTAAACCAAGACAATATAGGCAAGACCGCGTCTAACAAATGGTTGAAGACGGGTTCCCTCTACGGTGAAACAGTTGGATTCATGATGGTCATGCAAGAGAGAATAATACCTACAAGAAATCAAGTATATTATGGGAGAAGATGTCGACGGTAAGTGTCGGGGAAGTGGACATAAAGGAGAAACCATCGACCATATAATAGGTGCATGTGAGACATTGATGGGCCTTGATTACACCCAGAGGCATGAAAACATTGCAAGAATAATACATCAGGACCTTGCGAATCGGCACCAGCTTGTTAGGGGATCAATTTCTTATTACAAATATGACCCAAAAGATGTATTGGAAAATGTACACTTTAAACTATATTGGAATAAAGAAATCAGAACTGAAATCAAGAATCAAGCAAACAAACCTGACCTCTATATGATAAAAGAAATAATACCAGGCTAAGCGAACATACAAAAGGCTTACGCAACAAAAATAAATAAATATATAGAACTTGCAGGGGAAAGTAAGCATATGTGGAGAGTAGATCGGGTCAACATCAGACCAATCATTGTATCGGCAACGGGTATAATACCAAAATCCACTATGACTCACGCAAAAGGACTAAACATAGAATACCTCATACCCCGACTCCAGAAATCGGTGATATTGGACACCTGTCACATTGTTAGGCGATTCCTGGCAATGGAATAAAAGATTTATGCAGAATGGCTTGATGTAATGTTAAGATCACGGAACTACCGTTTAAAAACGAGAGAAGAAACAAATAATAATAATAATAATGATAATAATAATAATAATAAAATCAAATAAATTCCGTGTGGTGGTCGGATCAAGAATAGCACCACGGGATTTTTCCCCTGTCGTAAGAGGTGATTAAGCAGCTGACCGCTGTCCTAGTACCTGATCCCAGATACCTTAACCATATTTATACTCACCTATCCCATTACCATTGGTCTATCGCACCGGAGGATTAAAGGTTTCCGTTTCCTCTTCCTATCCATTAGGTAAGTGTAAGCAATAAAGAAGAATAGAAAACGATGTCAAGTAAAAAAACATATCTTGTACCTCAGGTAGGTAGAGCCAACGTTCGGAATCCTACACTGCAGCTGCCCTACGGATTCTGGGGAAGGCAACTCGACATTACGAAGTAGGAGAGGTCCGAGAACTAGGATAGCAAATCCTGCAAATAGTACCCCAAATAGTTCAACAACAAACAGCAGGATATCTGATTTGCACAATGCTGTTGACACACCTGAAAGTGGATACTCAAAATAGACTCAGAGTAAACACAAGTGCAAAGCCTAAAGAAATCAAAAATACAAATAAGCCCAAACGAGTGGGTTGGACAAAAGTAGAAATGAGGGAAGTGTTGTGGTGCTTCCAGTATTGCAAAGTGCAAGTGACAATTATAAGGCTTTGTATAGCCTGTGGAGAGAAAGAAATCCAACAAGGCGACCAAATATAGATGCGAAAAAACTCCTGAACCAAAAGAACTATATTGTAAAAACTGTAGAGTAAGTCAAATTGAAATAGATGCAATAGTCAGAAAGATGATAAACAGAAGCGAAACCGAGACTCGAGGAGGAAACAAGGAGGATGAAGCAAAAATAAACGAAGCTGAACTGCGCGAATTTAAAAATCAAAATGAAACACGAAACTACAAGCTACCACACGAAGAATCTTTTGAAAGGAAAATAATAGAGAACTACGAAAGACTCGGAACTGAATTTTGTGCGCGAAATAGGCTACCTAAGATAATAATGACTAATGAAGTACGAAAATTGATTGCATCCGCAAACAAATTTATAAAGAGTGGTTAAACAAAAATCAGGTAGACCTGCTAGAAATCGATTCACTGGTATATGCTACAACAGTAACAAAAACAAAAAACAGACAAAAAAATAAGCGCGTGAGCTGGAAAGAAAGATTAAAAGATAGAATACAGAAACTGAGACAATATTTATCAAGAATGTCTGAAATTAAAGATATTATTGCCCGATGTAAGATAGAAACCAGTAGACTGATAAAGAAACGCAACATTAAAACAAACAAAGATCTGATTGAAATAAGAGAAAAACTAAAACAAAGAGTAGCGGCACTGGGACAAAGACTATCACGATACACAAGGAGAGAGAAACAATATATTCAAAATAAAAACTCTAGATCCGACAGTAAGAAATTCTGGGAAGGCTTATGGAGTCACGGGGTAAAATACCATGAAGATGCCGAGTGGATACTGCGCTTCGAACGGAGGTACAAAGACAAAATAATGAAGTGGCGAAAAATAAGTACAAATGAAGTTACAGAAGCTCTTCGAGAAGCCGCTGACTGGAAGGCTTCAGGGTCTGATATGATCCTTAACTAAAAAACCTGATATCGGTCCACTCTGCGCTGGCGGACAAATATAACGAAATGTAGAATCTAATACATTTCCTAAATGGCTGGCCACTGGTATGACGTTCTTGCTCCCTAAGAACGAAAACACGAAGAACGTAAAAAACTACAGGCTCATTACCTGCCTATGCACCACTTAAAAAATGTTACAATCATTTTAACAACTAGACTTTAAGAGTTTTTGGATACGAACTCGATACTACCCTTAGATCAAAAAGGCTGCTGCAGAGAATCTAAAGGTTGCAAGGACCAGTCGTTACTGTCCACGTATATCCTGGAAGAATGTAAACAAAGGAAACAAACCGGATTTTGTTATTAAAGATAGACGTAATAACAATGTTGTGGCGAGAGAAGCCGAAAAAATTACTTGAATTCAGGGACCTAGCCATCGAAATAGGTAGAACGTGGGATATTAAGACCCAAATTATCCCCATCGTAATTGGAGCAACTGGAACACTCACAAAGAATTTTGAAAGATACCTTTACACCATCGACGGAAAACATAACATCAAATAACATCAAACAGCTTCAGTCCACGGGAATAACGGGAAGTGCCCACATTTTAAGAAGAGTTCTAGGGTAACCCAAGGAATACGGTGTGTTAAGCCAATAAAATACCTACACCGTGAAAGTTATTAATTGGTTGTCATGCAAACGCACTAATGCAAACAACCAGGGGAAAGAAATCTGTATTATTCATTTTATGCCCAAAAGTCATTTTTTTGTAAAAAGTTCTGCTTGTGAGAAAAATAATGCATAATAAAAAAATGTTATAGCAAATACAAAGGCTGAAATTTATGAAAATATGAAAATGCTTCCTGAGAAAAGTACCATTATTTATAATTGTTTCCAAAAAATGTATAATACGAGCGAAAATGAAACTACTGTAAATATTAGATACAAATTTCAAAAAAAAAAAATTATTTCCAGAAAAAAAAAACTATGCTATACACATTGAAATTTATTTCACTATTTTATTAACTTCTCTCAATATTCTGTTTTCGTAAAGGCATTTTGCAAATGTGAACTAAAAAGAGCATGTTTTTTGAATATAATGTATTTTGTCAATACGCATGAGATGTTTCTCATGAAAAATATACTAAAACGCCCGTGTCAAAAAGAAGAATGGTTAAATTATTAAAAAAGTACTTAGAAACTGGATCGGTCAATCTAAAGAAATCAATGAAAAAAAACGATAAAATTATCTTTAAGGAAGTGTTCACAAACAGTGGATCAAAATAAATTGGTAAGGAAAACAAAATTAAACCGTTTAAGTCAAAGTACTGCTTAAACTTGAACATAGAGATGAAAGACACGTTTAGAGTTTGGTATTTAAGGATTGAACTGAGGAGGCTTTTAATTGATGAAAATCCATTTATCAAAATAAATAAGAACTAAAACAAATCACATTTGATAAAGACACGGTGTTGTCGAAACAATTCATGTCATGTCAAAATATATAATTTCGTGAAAATCTGAACTTTTAGTTCTTATTTATTTTGGTATTTAAGGGTTTTTTTAAAGATAAATCTACATTTTGTCCAAAATAGTCATCATAGGGCTCACGAGAGTCCTAATCATGTAATGCACAAACAAAGTTAACGTTACAAAAAGTATAGTGTGGATTTTGCTCTTTTTCATATCATATTTTATAGAGCAAAATTTAAATCAAAACGTGTATCTGGACATTTTGGATAATTTTGTCTCCCGTTTCTTTATGCCTTAGATCCTGAAGTATATAATACTATGTTTTGCTTAGTTTTGGTTAGTTTTCAAGACGGCTGTCCAGCTCAGTGCTCAGCATTGGTCAGACAATGGTTAAATAATCATGTGGGAGAAAGAGGGATAAGGAGATTTGGCCCCATCCATTATCTAGCTAGGCTTTTTTTTGTTGGGTGGAATATTTTTCGCTTGTTCAGAAATATCTGGACATTCAAATAGATTTATTCTTGGCCTCTCGGATATGGCGTCTGACGAAAAATCAGATTCTCCATCGCAGCATAGGTTCGAAACCAATTGACTGCAAACGACCATTGTTTTACTTAAAAACACCTTTTTTAATAGCAGCAAGCATAATAGTTAGTCGTCAACTATGCGAATTCAGTTTATAAAATCCTCAAAAAGTGATGCCTGTATATTGTTAATGCATTTTATTTTTCACAACATCAGAAATATTTCAACAATTAAATAGATTTAGTCTTGGCCTGTCGGTTAAGGTGTCTGACTAGAAATTAGATTTTCCATCGCAGCGTAGGTTCGAAATCTACTGACTGCAAACGAACTTTGTTTTGGTTAGTTTCCTTAATATGGTACCCTCTCTGATATACTCGGTTTATTATATTCCGATTTTAACACTCCGTTTTTATCATCCAGACAAATCGATTTTCAATTATTTTTAATCAATTCCCACTTGTAAAATATCCAGAACCAATACGGATACATTTTTCAGTATTTAATAGAGCCCATGGGAAACGACAGTGAAAAAAAGCAAAAAAAAAGGGGGACTCCGGAAGCCATATCGGAGCACGAGGAAACATACAGATCATTGTGGTGCGAGGAAGCGTAAAATCGGGACCCGACACAAGGCGACTGCATGAGAATCCGGAAAGAAAAGGGTGCCATTGCCGAGTCAGTAGTTCCCCAGACTATGAAATACGATCTACTAATATAAAGGGGACTTGAATACGTATTCAAATATACAAATTTGATTTAGATTCGCCGGGTAGCGAGGACGCGACAGTTTCATACATCGATATAATATTTTTGTAGTGGTTTGGAATTTTAATTCTATTTTATGGTGGTTATTATATCTTATTTTCCTGCGTAATTTGTCCGAAAAGCAAAAATCGATTATAACTTGCATCTTAAGCTTTCAATGGTGGTTGATATTAAAGTGAACATTAATATTATTAAAAGATTAATAACAATTATGGACGCAATTGTCAATTCGGCAATGCTTGGTTTAGGTGACAAGTACAAGAAGTTCCATTTTACTGGACGAGTTGACAAATTCTGCGGAATCTTGCGAGTCCAGTAATACAACTTTCGGGAAGTGTTACGAACAATATATGTTTTTTAAACCGACTCAGTGTTGTACATATAAACTTTTTATGAGAGAAATCTTTATTAATATTTTCTCACAAACTGAAAGTTTTGTTTAGTAAAAAATATACATATTATTTTTGTATATTGATATTAAACAACTATTATCAATCTATCAAATCTTATAAGAACATCCTTTGGTTTGAGTAATTTTAAAAAAGTAGCTATTTCGAAAGGAGCTTTAGCTACTGCATGCATGCGTAAGGCTTGTTGAATACATTTTAATTTATTGTGATGAATAAAGAGACCTAGATGAGGAAAGTTAGCCAGGCGTAAAACTGGAGACCATATATAAATTTATTTCCTTTCCTCAATTAATTATGAATGACCCATGATAATTTGTTTTGGTGTTTGGAATTCTAACCAAACGCTTGGTTTGTTTGTCTCTTATGTCGTCAGTTAATATATTAGTAATTTCTATTGTCTATATGCTCCAGTATAACTCATAATCAACAAAATTTTGACCATAAGAAAGTGTTCATCTGGTGCTTCTACTGAGAATTTTCAGATATCCATTTTGTATATAATATTCTCGATTTGTTGAGTTTAGCTTTTCTGAGTTTTCTGGTAAATATAGCAATAAAACATCTCCTTAAATATTTATGGCCTTTTTTTAGGCACAACTTTTCAAAAATTTGGTATATTTCGCTCGTATCGTGACGTGTATCACTTGCCCGGGTCGGCAAAAGTAACACACAAAAGGTCTCTTAAAATTTTAGATTGGCAAATAGCTTCCAATTCGAGGAAGGAATTTAAATGACGTCGATGTATTAGAGACCGCCAGCGGTACAATTAAGGAAGGACTTAGCTCCAAACTCTTAACGCAGCTCTGTTTGAAATTAAATTATTTGTTCCCGCGATACACACATCGAATCATTTCGCGGTTTGCGTTTCACATCCGAACAAACCAAGTGCTTACTTAACAGAAATAGATACAAAAGTGAGGTAAATTTTACAATAAAAAAAGCAATGAAGTTTCTTCTCTCTTTTTGTTAATTTATATAAATAGCAGAGCGGGTCCATTTTTGTTGTTCTTTAATGACCAAAGAATGTTTTCGTCAAATATTTGTATAAACTAACATTTGTAATATTCGTATTTCAAGAACCTTCGAAAAAGGCGAAGAAGAAAATGGTAAACTTGGAAATAGAAAATATATTTAAATATTCGTATCGTTTTCAATAAAAATATTTGCCACATGATAGCAGCATCAATTTTCTCAGACCTATTATTTCAAAAAGATTTAAACAATATTTTTTATTTCCTGAAAAGTTTAAATTTTTCTTTCTCAGTTTTTGTTACTACTAAATCAATAGGGAAAAATGTTAAAATATTCATTTATTATATATATTATCACGTTATACAAATGCAATGAAATTCACAATTTTTTATTATGGATATGCGTTATTTAAATTATCATATTTATATATTTCATTTATATGGTACCCTTTTCTTTTATTTCTTCGCTTTGCACTGTTTTCTTTTGGCAAAGCTAGTATATATGTATATAGTATATGATTCATTTTAATAAATATATATTTAGTCATTATTGTATATCTGGGACTAAAGTTTGTAAAGAGCGACGATGTTGGTTGTCGCTCTCAACTAATATCATTTTGCTTAAAGTATTTTGACAACTAATGAAGGCTCATTATTACTATTATTATTATTATTATTATTGTTTTAATTATAAAAAGTTTCCCAGTGTTGGAGCAGCATCGAAGGTTTATATAAGCGGCAGCCATTGCTCTAGATTCACGTTAAAGCAATCCTTCAAAAGCTGCAAATAATAAAATTAAACCGAACGAAACAAGTAAACCTAAACTAAACTACGCGATTTTAACACAAAGTTCCCGGATGCGACTGAACTATTCGATGTACGCTGAAGGGTTTAGCCTATAAATACAATTAAAGTACTTGAGAAATCTTCTTTTCCCGTTGTCGATAATCAATATTGTACAAGACACAAAAAAACAGAATGAACTGATATTCAGATTTCATTAGGGTAATCTAGCTTAGTTTAACTCAGATATGCCTGAAATATATATTTTTCTTATATTTAGGTATTGTTCTATATTTGAAATTATTTAACTTAATAAAATGGCAATAGGACAATTCTGGAGAACTAAATAGGTTTCTTTTTCAAATTTGGTTAGTTTTGGTTAGTTTCTCTAATTTTATTTTGCAGAAAGATTTGTTACTACAAGTTTTGACGGATGATTGTTTAATAAATATGCAATGCTTCGAGTGTTCGAAGTGTTTTCGGAGCGCGAGCATTGAAGATGCCAAGTGAGATCTTCGCGAAACGTCTTAGTTAATAGTTGGTATTGTAGTGGCACCCTATCACTGAGGTTGTTTGTCCTGCTGATTTACCAAATGATCCAGGCGGCAATTTATATTTTTAGTATTTGATGGTCTTCTCTATTTACAACTCATTTTTTATGGTCCGCTTAAATAATAAAAAATGGTATTTTCAAAATGAGTGTTTGCGTTGCGAGTATTATCGTAGACGCGATGGCTCCTCAAAGTTAACTCTTTAACATTTGGTGGTCAAATTTGATGAAACTGACTAGGCACTCGACGAATGATCCAACTGACTGGATCTCAAATCATTTACAAGACTATCCCAATTTTGGGCGAACATCTTTAACCACGAAGCACGTTTTTTGATGAATGGCTGTTAAACATAACACAACAAGGGGAAATATATTGATTACAGGGGTATAAGTCTGTTTTAATATTATGACCAGGTCATACATATTAAAATTTAAAGAATTTTCTATTTTAAAATTTATTTATTTATTATTATATTTTCTTTTAGGGAAATATTTTAAGTACAGAAGTTTATATAATAATTTAAATTAGGTTAATATTTTAAGTACAATTACTTACAAAGTATTAGAGTAAAGTAAATATTTTAAGTACAATTATTTGTAAACAATTAAGATAAGGGAAATATTTTAAGTACGAAAATTTATATAGAATAAATATTTTAAATACAAATTTATGTAAAGGGTTAAAATAAATATTTTAAATATATAAATTTATATAATAATATATATATATATATATATATATATATATATATATATATGTATGTATGTATATATATATATATATATATATATATATATATATATATATATATATATATATATATATATATATATATATATATATATATATATATATATATATATATATATATATATATATATATATATATATATATATATATATATATATATATATATATATATATATATATATATATATATATATTATTATTATTATTATATATTATTATTTAAGATAATTTTAGTTTTAAGGGAATATTTTAAGTACTAATTAAATCTGGATTTCTTAAAGTAAATATTTTAAGTACAATTATTTGTAAAGAATTAAGATAAGGGAAATATTTTAAGTACGGAAATTTATATAGAATAAATATTTTAAGTACATATTTATGTAAAGAGTTAAAATAAATATTTTAAATGTATAAATTTATATAATAATTTATATTTTTTTTCTTTATATATATATATATATATATATATATATATATATATATATATATATATATATATATATATATATATATATATATATATATATATATATATATATATATATATATATATATATATATATATATATATATATATATATATATATATATATATATATATATATATATATATATATATATATATATATATCTCACGTATTGATTCACGGATGGAAAAATGTGATGACACTATATTCCGGGATATCATCCGTTCGCTCGAAGTGTTCGAAGTGTTTTCGGAGCGCGAGCATTGAAGATGCCAAGTGAGATTTTGGCGAAACGTCTGCAGGATTCCAGTCGGATGCACTATTCCAGTCGGAGTTCAAAGAGCGAACGGATGATATCCCGGAGTATAGTGTCATCACATTTTTCCATCCGTGAATCAATACGTGAGAATATATATATATATATATATATATATATATATATATATATATATATATATATATATATATATATATATATATATATATATATATATATATATATATATATATATATATATATATATATATATATATATAGCACAATGGTGACTTATAGTACAGGAATTCGACTTTATTGTAGAGAATCGCCCATTAACAAAACTAGCACATGCATGTTCTAGTTTCGATATATTAAAGGTAAATCTTAACGAAGATGAGTAGGTATTATCAGGTTAGATGCAAGAAGAGCGCTGTAAACAGCTATTAGAAATTTTGTCGAAAGAGTCAACGGATGCAGATAAAAAAGGCGTACATAAAGATACGTAATCCAAAATATAACATAAAGAAAATGGATATAGGTGGTACGTCCCCAAAAAGGCAATAAAGGAAAATATCAGTACCTATGGATAGGGTCCACTTTGCTCACTTAGGACCATTTACGAGAAGTTCCAAAGGAAACTATCTAATAGCGGCAGTAGGCGCGTTTATGAGGTACCTCTGGAGTAAAGCCGTTACGACAACAAAGTCAGGACCTTTGATTAAATTCTGTGAAGAAATTTTCAAAATTTTTGGTACACCTCGAAGTGTGATATGTGACAGAGGAACATGCTATACTAGCAAGGCGTTTCAGGAATTTAGTCGAAAGTTGGGAATAAAGGTGGTGCTAAACGCAACAGTAACATCTCGAGCTAACTGGCAGGTTAAACGCTACAATCGTACAATCTTGACTTCTCTGTCAGCAATGGGTGACAACAATATATATATATATATATATATATATATATATATATATATATATATATATATATATATATATATATATATATATATATATATATATACCTTACGTTTTGGTATCAATTCGGCAGTGTAAAGCTCACATGAGCTTCTTTTCGGATATGAATCAAAAGGAATGGGCGATGCATTTCTAATTCACGACATAAGTCAAATCGAAAATGACTATTACGAAGTGAGTAGGATTCAAAAAGAAGCTGAACGAAAAGTAACGGCTGCTCAACCGAAGCAGAAGGCATATCACGATGCTTAAAGAAAAAACCTATTTTATACGAAGTAGGGATGCAGGTGCTCCTACGAAGGAGTGCGATTACCAACGACGGTAAAAGGAAAAAACTGCTCAAAAAGTATTGCGGTCCTTACGTTGTGGCTGAAGTACTTGAACACGATAGGTATATCGTAAAAGAACTTCCGGGCACACGACGGGCTCGGAAGATGTACGAAGGTGTCTGTTCCGCAGATAAAATGAAGCCTTACTCAAGACTCACTCAAGCTCTAAACTGGAAGGGTTGAAGGAAAGATCAGAGGTTCTCGGTGTATACATTTCCAAAAGGACCCATGTGACGATAAATTAGTAAATAAAATAAAAATAATAATAATCATAATTAGTTTTGTGTTATAGCGTCGACAAAAATTTCCGTAGACTGAAAATGGGTAGCATGGCCGACTGAAACATAACCGCGTCTCGGGGAAATATATTGATGACAGGGTTAGAAGATTTACAACAGTATAATTCGACGGTGATGCCATCAAAGGGGCTGCAAAATCAAATTTTTGTTTACACAGGTGTGGGCTATTATTGCGGAACTTGTTCGAAAAATATTTTTGTTTTGCAGTCTGCTTTAATATATTGACCAGGCCATATGATTATCGGTATTACGGTGTTTCCAAATAAATACGTGCTTTAGCGGGATTTCGCCTATTAATTTCTAACAGCTGTGTTAATAAGAAAAATTGCTAGATATAAGGTGATATTAACCAACGCCAGGTTCACCATGAGGATGTTGCTATTTAGTGTGGATTTTGAGCCAACGAAGTAATTCGTCCTTACTTTGTGTAAATGACGTTTGTAAGACGGTCACCGTCAGTAGAAAGCGTTACAGAATAGTAGATAACCAATTTCATATGGCCGACGTTGGACCATGTGAACCTAGAGGATATATGGTCGCAGGTCTAGGCAATTAAACCACAATCTTGAAGTTGAAAAAAATGATATTACTCCACGTGCGTGAGCTGTCTAGCTTGTGTTATTTCATTTCAACCTCTACGAGCACTTTAGATAGATATTTAATTCTGAGTACTGCAAAAATTAAAAAAAATATGTGAACACTGCGAAAAAAGGAACAAGTCATAAAAAAGAAGAAAACAAAGGTTAAAGATAAGGTTGTGATCTTTAGCAATACTGATAAACTATCCAAATCCGAATTAAAATTTAACAGATATTGAAAAAGGACTGCATATTTGAGTATTATCAGTCATCAGCGTATTGCTGCATATTTATGACATAGTTATACTGCTCTATAAG